TTCCAATGGGATTTTGTTTCTCTTATTTCAGCCCGTGAGGGAAGACACAGCGAGAACCAGGACGAATTGTGTTGGGAAGGCTTGGAAACAGTGGTTTGTAAAGAGAGTCGTCTTCAAGGAAGGACAAGTGAAGGAAAAACACATAGTAGAAATGAAGATTTTGCTTTTCCACTCAGAGATTCGCAAGATTCTCTGCTCCAGGAAAACAGAGAGAAAAGGAAGAAAACGGGTAAATGTTCTTTGGACAGAAATAACTGTAGTCTAAGTGCTGCTTGGACAATCCACACGGGAGGGAGACCGCTGAAAACCCCAGAAGGTGCCAAGAGTCTTTGCGATCATTCACCCTTCGGAATTCATCAAACTTTTCAGAGCTTCAAAAGTAGAAGGAGCTTCCAGCACAGACCAAACCTTGTTTTCCCTCAGGAAAATGACACAGAGAAACCCTTTAAATTTGTAGCCTGTGGAAAGAGCTTCAGTCAAAGGGCATCCTTGCCTCATCACCTGAGGATCCACACTGGGGAGAAGCCATTTAAATGCTTGGAATGTGGAAAGAGTTTTTGTCATCATAGAAACCTTGCCAGTCATTTGAAAATCCACACAAGGGAGAAACCATTTGCGTGTTGGGAATGTGGGAAGAGCTTCCGTCACAGGGCATCCCTGACTCGTCATCTGCGGATCCACACCGGGGAGAAACCATTTCAGTGCTCAGAATGTGGAAAGAGTTTCGGCCAGAGCACAACCCTGAATAACCACATGAGAATCCACACAGGGGAGAAACCGTTTACGTGCTTGGAATGTGGGACGAGCTTCAGGCAGAGGGAGCAACTCACTTCTCATCAAAGAAGCCACAGAGAGAGAGAGAGAAAAGTTTAAATGCTTGGAGGGTCACGAGGCCTTGAAGAAGGAGACGAATCTCATTTTCCATCAAAACATTCACCCCGGTTAGAACTTGGCAGGTTTGCCTCCAGGCATTGCATCAGGGAAAGATAGTGTTGTGTTTCCTATAGAAACAAAGAACAGATTTTTGTAGTTCCAAAAGAAACACTCGGGCGGAATCTGATTTTCTAATGACTGCCGTGGATTGTCCTCTTTTCCCCTTCACTGCCCTTTTTCCTACACCAAAAAGTAAACAAAACAAAACCATGGAAATACAGCTCCCTTTCTAAGATAAACCCTCCAGTCTTGTGTTGTTGTTTTTCCTCTCACTCTCCCTTTTCTAACTTTCCATTCCTCCTTGGATGGCGGGAAAAAGAACTGTGCAGAATGAGTTGGATTCGGGCTTTTCCTTACGCGTACACTTCCCCTTGAAATTGTTGAAACATTAGCTAGTCAAGTAAGAATTCCTATTCATTTGAAGCAAGTTAGCGGTACCTGGACATGATCCAGTGTTTTGAAGTAACCAATCTGTTACCTTGTATTATTTGAAGGAAGGGGAGATTGAAAATATTTAGAAAATATCATGGATTCAACCAAGGATGACATTCACATTTATTTATATTTTGTTTGCAACTTGCAAGAATTTCCCCAGGCAGAATCCTGGGAGCTGCAGTCCAAAAGCAGTCATTTAGAGAAGACCTTCTCTCACTTCTGTTTGACCCTTTGTCCAGTCTATCC